TAAACAGTAGTATGAGTATAAACAGTAGTGCAAATGTAAACAGTAGTATGAGTATAAACTTTGTGATTGTATCTATGAACAGTGCTATATAAATAAATGTTACTTACTGAACTGTTTGAATAGATGAGTTTCATGGCAGACATTAACCTAAGAGCTGAACATTTGGGTGCAGACCTGATGGACACACCTGTGCTTGTGCTGGTCTGATGGTCCAGTAGAGGGCAGTAATGATCCGCTGTAGCGCCTAATTAACCTCGGGCTTTAAAAGGAGAAGAAGAAGGGTTGTTTTTGTCTGTTGTGACTGTGAGCACTGCTTGGCAGCAAGTAAGTACTTGTACTTTTAAAGTGGACTTGGTTCTGTTTTTGATGTGTTTTTCAGTGAACATTGCAGGCTAAATGAAAATGCAAGGTTAATTGCTCAGTTCGTAAACTTTAAATGGTAACTTAGTGTGTCAGCATGCAGTTCGAGCTAACACTGTGCTAATGTTAGCCTAGTCCCAGGCTGTAATGTTGTCTGGACTTATCACGTCTGCACACATGACGACAGTGGGTGGGCTGGTGCCACTGAGCTCTTAAATATCTGCTGTTGAAGCTGCAAACACGTGCAGAACTTTATCACTGGCGGACTTCAGACACAGACAGACCAAAATCGTTTAGTCAATCAAGTAACTCCAGAGAAGAGGTAGGAAACGCTGACTTGTTACTAAATGGGATGCCATATAGGAGACTTGTCTAAACTAAACCCACATGTAGTTTCCTTAACAGCAGGCGTATTCACTTTGTTTGTTGTTCAGAGATGCAGTCTTTGGTGAAACAAAACTTTCATGCAGAGACTGAAGGAGATGTCAACAAGCTTGTTAATCTGAAGCTCAACGCGTCCTACACCTACCTTGCTGTGGTAAGTTTTTTTTAATTGAAAAATGGTACAGTTGCAGCTATCGTGTATTTTTCTTTTTCTGCTCTGTAATAAATCTTTGCCCTCATGTTTTAGGGCATGTATTTTGACAGGGACGACGTTGCTTTGCCCCACTTTTCTCGCTTTTTCTTGGAACGCTCTGAGAAGGAGCAGGAACAGGCTGAGAAGCTGCTGGCGTATCAGAACAGGAGAGGGGGCCGCATCTTGCTTCAGAATATTACTGTAAGTCTCAAATCGCCTGAATGCAATTACTGGTATTTATTGTAAATTGTTGCTCAAAATGTAATTCTAGAAGCCAAGCAGGGAGGACTGGAAATGTGGCCTGGATGCAATGAATTTTTCCCTGGAATACCAGAAGTTCTTGAACACGTGCATCCTTGATGTGCACCGCAGAGCTGACAACCAAAAGGACCCGCACGTAATTTTATTTTTATTTTTTTTATGTAGTACAAACTTTTTTTGTATTATGTAGATCACATGACTTGATGCGTGTTAATACTTATTTCTCTCTAGCTGTGCAACTTCCTCGAGGAGGACCTCCTTGTCGACAGCCACGACACCATCAAGAAACTGGGTGACTACATCGGCAGTCTGTCCCGCCTTTCTGAGCCCGGGACAAACGCGTCCATGGGGGAATACCTGTTTGACAGACATACTCTGTAAACCCTCAAAGATGCAGAGACAACGGATGACTATGCATTTGTTTAAAATTTGTAGTTTACTCAAATGTTACAAAAAAATAAACTGCCTCAAATTTTGTATGAAAAACAAATTGGAACATGTTCTCATTAAGGTCTCCTAAGCTGTTAACTGTGAAGTGAATAACCTGTTTACATAAACGTCATGTGTCAATACATTCCAGTGTCATGTTTCAACTGAGCAAAGCTGTTAAAATAAATGAATAAATTTGGAAATGGTGCCACAACTGTTGCATTTATATATTAAAAAAATAAAAAATTTCCCCCAGTTTCAAAATTTTGACATTTCTTTGCTACTTTACAAATATGTCAAAACGTGAGCCTGTAGTTTCTGGTGATTAAATAAATGCAAGTGAAACCAGTACACAGCTGTGACTTGCATTAAATCCTGAAGACCCATTTTCTCCAGTGTCCTGAAGCTGCATGTTTTTCCCTGATGCCTCCAGATGTTTAAAAACGATAATTGAAGATTACTGTGCAGAGCTGTGGTACTGTGTAAAATTGCTGCAGGATTGAGTTACTAGTCAGTACAGCTATGAAGGGATTAGTAACTAGAGGACTACAATCTGTTCTATCTGAACACTATGAATATCGGTTATCTTGAAGTGCCTTGAACTTCATTCAAATTTATAACATGCGACAAGTTGGAGCAAATTTTGTCGTAATTTTCCTTCAGTAAAATGTTTTCAGCCCTCCAATATCAGAGGGGGTGGGGGGGGGATTAAACGATAACTGCTCCAGTGATTTGCCAGCACTTTGATGGACAGGGTTTCAGGACGGCTGCCAGTCAGACGGCAGCGTACCGAAGTGCTGAAGGTGTGAGCGCTGAGCCAAGAAACTAACACTAAAAAGGCCCTCGGCTCTTCGTTAGAAGGGAATTAAGGAAACTCATCAACAGGTAGGCTGAATATCAAGTGTGAATGCAAACTTTCAAAACATTTTGAATTGAACATTGTACTACACGTCTGCTCAAACCCTTAACTGTGATTTTTTTAAAATAAATTGTTTTTAATGTGAATTTTATCTTTTGCTTCTGATTTTTTTTTAGTTTGACAGGACTATCTTGTCATTTCACCACTATAAATCTGTTAAATTTAATGACAAACTAAATTGTGAATTTAAGTGACTTAAAAATTCAATTTTTCATAGAGTGAAACTTTGATTTTAATTTGAATATGTGGTTATTTAGAAAACTTTTTTCCTTTTTTTTAACTCGTTTAAATTTAAACAAGTAACTGGACTTTTTTTCCGTTAGTCTTAAATAGTTAAATTCTCACCCAAGAAGCCATTTTATGGCAAGTCAATTTATCTAATTTTAAACTGAGAATCTACACAAACATTCTGGATGTTTACCTTGGCATTTCTTTACCAAGTCCACAATAAACATGCATCATTACAGAAACCTTTTTGAGAAGGATTGACAGGGTGAAAAAAATGTGACTGCAGAATATTAAAAGGAAGAAACCAACTTATTTTTAAAAAGCTGAGATTCTGGATTAACACTGCAGAGCCAGAGTTTAATCCAGTCTGTAGCAGAGACCATGATGAGAGAAAAATGGGGCTGAGGTGAACGTGGGAGAGAAGGCATGGGTTAAGGGATGGAGGAGATAGCAGAGAGTATGAGCATAACAGAGGGATTAAGGTCAGCCATGTTGAGCATCTGGCTTAGAGATGTCCTACGCTCTTGCACTGTACAGCAACACATGATCAGAGGGATTACACAGCATACAAGTAAAGATGTGTTGTCACTCCCTGAATGAGCCAACTAGACAGTGAGCATTAACAGTCTGACACAAGATGGCTGAACTGGTTCTGCTGTTTTGACAGCTGCAATGAGGCTGGTCAGTGGTGGGGTCCGACTTCGAAGGACTGCTGAACCGTCCGAACCTGAATCTGAAGAAACGACGGAGTCTGTTCATCATGAGCACACTCATGAGCACACTCATTCAGAGCACCACCATGAGCACTCACATACAGAACACCACCCAGGCCACGACTACGACCACATGAAGGAGAAGTTCATGAATGAACTGGACCATCTGCCAAGTAAGATATTTGTAGATTCTGCAACAATCATATAGGTATTTGTTGAAATAAACTGTTTACATCATGATACATAAATATCACATATATTACATATAAATATCATCACAATCAATTTTATTACATATTATATATATATATATATATATATATATATATATATATATGTGTGTGTGTGTGTGTGTGTGTGTGTGTGTGTGTGTGTGTGTGTGTGTGTGTGTGTGTGTGTGTGTGTGTGTGTAAAAGGGAGTGAAATTTTCCTCAACTGATATTTATATTTTGAACTAGGGCTGCACAATTAATCACAGATTTACTGTCATTGCTGTATCAGAGAGCACACCACCAATGCTGCTTGGACTGCAATAAATCATAGATCATTTCAATTCTTGTACTATATTCATGTCCAGCAGGGTAATGTTATTTTTGGTCAATCAGACTCAAAGTGCCCTTCATTCCCATGCCTGGTTTAGATTATAGTGATGACAGAAGAGAAAGGAGCAAGGAAAATAAGAGTTTATTTAATTTTCATCGCAATAATAAACAATAATATTGGATATAACAAGATTTTCTACTATAACGCAGCTCTATTTTGAAAATATATACCCATAGTTTTCAAACTATGGTACAATTACCACTGGTGGTACTCAGCAATCTTTTGGTTGTACTCAAAAGAACCTTTGGTATCAATTATTTAAAACGCAAATAACATAATTATCATAAATTGAATTGAGATGTAAAGCTAAAAAGCAGACAGAATCAGGCCAATGACCAAAACAATTAGGAGTACTGAGTCAAAAACAAGGACCATGTCTACCCTTCTCCTTTCTTTAAATTAGGAATTGAAACGCTGTTTTTATAAATCATTACAACTTAGCAATCCAAATGTTTTCAGGTTTGTGGTTTGAATTTTGGAACACATTCTTAGTGATGGACCTCAGGTTCTTTGGGTATTTTATCCACTAGACATTGTCACCCAAGGTTGATGCAGCTGAGGCTGATCAGGCCTCCTTGTGTGTTAGAAAGGTTTTATTGTCATTTCTTCTACATCCAAGTACATATTGAAATGAAACAGCATTCCTCCAGGATCACGGTGCAACACAGAACATAATGTGCAAAAAATACAACGCACAGTGCAGATACATGACAGTACAATAGATACAAACAGACCTATAATAAATGCAAAAAGACATGTAATCTTAGTGTCACTTAGCAAGTTGGGTTTGTTGAAGGGTTAAGCTTAAAATATAGATTTTTGATTTTCAGGTTAGTTAGACGTTCAGGTAGATTAGTAGATTCTAGTAATGGGGTTAGAGAGCTTTGTATTTTCAAATGTGGCGCTCATTCTGAAAAGTTTGAGAACCACTGATAAATAAAAAAAAAAAAAAACAATAATTTTACAGGCATGTATTTTTTGTGTGTTTATATGAACCACTTCACTCAAAAAAACTATAACAGAAAGAAAAAAAGTGTATAATAACCAGTTTTGTAGACATGAAAAGCTGATAACGACAGACGTGAAGCACTTAATGATGAACCTCTGCTCTGCTGAGACATTGCTGGTAGCTGTGGTTATACTGGGCCACTCCCAGTTAGAAGAGTGTTATTATCTGATTGTGGAGATGGGTGTTAACAGGCCAGACACGTGCTCAGCAAACTGTCCAAGATAAGTGGCTGCTTCTAACATTTAGAAGTTGAACTGGAAGTTTCCAGTAAACAGTTTTATTACCATTAAATATTTAGAAATGATCCATTATGCCTTTTCAAAATCCCCAAATTTTAAAAACAAGGCAACTGGACTTCTTTTGTTTGCTGAAAACATTAACTTTTAATCCAAGAAGCAAACTTAGTGATTAACTGCTTACTCCTTTCTGACATGATGATGTTACTCCCATTATACTGTAAAGTATGTTTTGTGTGTACTAATACACATCTCCTTTGCAGTTCCCATGTGGGCAGTGGGAGCCATTGTTGTGTTGGTGCTGCTTTTAGTGGCGTGCTTTATCTTCTGCGTTTTCAAGAAATGTTTTGGGAAAAAGAAAAAGCCCAAAAAAGTGAGGGAAAGAAAGGCAGGCCGACGCAGAAAAGAAAAAGAAGGTGAAGGAGAGATTGGAGAGAAGGTGAGCTGTTGCCTACGGTCTTACCTGATCAAGACCTTTATGATGAGTTTTCAGTGTAAGACACTTGTTCTTGTAGGAGGGGGAGGTGAAAAAGGAAGGGCAGCAGGAGGAGAAGGAACAGGAGAAGTTGGGTAGACTGGAGTTCTCTTTGGACTACAGCTTCACCGATTCCCAGGTCAGTCCTGCACAAAAACAAAAACTATTTCATCAAAGGCATTTGTATCAATCATGAAAATATACAGTAGGCACGTCTAAGAGTATAAAACAAACTTCCACTTTTATTTTCCTTTTATTTACCTGCCACTTTCTCTTTCTTCTGAAGCTCATTGTGGGCATCCTTCAGGCTCAGGACCTTGCTGCTATGGACATGGGGGGAACTTCAGATCCCTACGTCAAAGTTTTTCTGTTGCCGGACAAAAAAAAGAAATTTGAGACCAAGGTTCAACGCAAAAACCTGTGCCCTGTTTTCAACGAGACGTTCTTCTTCAAGGTGCCTCATGTCTGAAAGATCGTTGTCCTCTTGCTGTCCATTTTTGTCTTTATGTCACAGCTTGTGCTGGTGTAGTTGTTTACAGTACTTACTGTTCTTTACAGTATACATAATTTATTTGCATGTAATCAAAACTATTCTCTTTTCCTTTTTTACATCTGAATGCAGCAATAACTTATCTTTTCAGATTCCATATGCAGAGTTGGGTGGAAAGACTTTGGTGCTGCAGGTTTTTGACTTTGATCGTTTCTCCAAGCACGACATGATCGGCGACATAAAGATTCCCATGAACAGTGTTGATCTGGGCCAGCCAATGCAGCAATGGAGGGACTTAGAAAGTAGTGAGAAGGAAGAGGTAAGGTTTACTGTCTCTGCTTGAACATTATTGTAAAGTTTAGATAAAATTTTTGCTCAGAGGAAATTATTCTTATTAGATGAAAGTTTAAAGTTTACTAAATAACAAACCCTGGTATTGTTGGTAAAAGTGAAAACAATATTCAACATTTATATAAATGCCTCTATTTATCCATCCATTATTTTGACTGGCTTCTTCTTTATGCGTCACGAGGGTCACTGGTGCCTATCTCCAGCAGTCACTGTGTTAGGGGGAGTGTGTGTGTGTGTGTGTGTGGGGGGGGGGGGGGGCGCATACCCTGGACAGGTCACAAGTCCATCACAGGGACACTTAGAGATAAAAGAGACAAACATTTACTCTCTTACTCACACCTTGGTCCATAAAGGTCTCCTCAGTTTAAATTTAAATCAGTTAGCAACAAAAAGTGTTCACAAAATTTTTCTTTGCAGGAAAAATTGGGAGATGTTTGCATTTCCCTACGCTACGTTCCCACTGCTGGAAAGCTGACAGTTAACATCATGGAGGCAAAAAATCTTAAGAAAATGGATGTTGGTGGCTTATCGGGTAATCAGGCTCATGCACTATCAATAATCTGTCTCATACTTTTTTGCTTAATAAAAAAAATTAAAAAACACAACTGAAACCTTAAAAGGGAATTGGAAAAAACAAAAACAAATCAAATTTACCTTATTCTCGTATTTCAGACCCATATGTGAAAATTGTTCTGCAACAAAATGGGAAGCGGATTAAGAAGAAGAAGACGACAGTCAAGAAAAACACACTCAATCCTTACTTTAATGAGAGCTTCAGCTTTGAAGTCCCCTTTGAACAAATACAGGTAAGTTTTACATGTACCAAAAAATAAACACATTTTTATGTGTCAAGGAACATGACTTGAAGGTGTTGTGATTTTGCTTTCCAGAAAGTACAGGTTGTCATCACAGTGTACGACTACGACAAACTTGGGAGCAATGACCCCATTGGAAAGACCTTTATGGGGTATGGAGCTACAGGGGTAGGCCTGCGCCACTGGTCTGACATGCTTGCAAATCCTAGACGTCCAGTAGCTCAGTGGCACACTCTCATGCCAGAGGAGGAGGTTGATGCAGCCCTCAAAGCAAAGCCTCGTTAAGAGTCGCACTTCACAGACAAATTAAATGCTGCTCAGAAATTATTTGTTGTTAAACGGAATAATTGTATTGTATATTTTCATTTATATATAAAACCATAAATAAAACTGCTTGTACTTGTTGTTTTCTCAGTATTTATATTGTAAGTAACACAATTTGGATGTAGGCACTGTCATGTTAAGGACTTGTTTTGTCAGAACAGAACTGTTTCTAGTACAGTTTATGATTACAGTTATTATTATTTACAATAGTCTATATTTTGTGTGCATTTGTGCCTGTGTAACATACAGAAAAAAAATGGCTGTGTATCTCCTATTTCTTATCCAGCACACACTATAAACCATCACGCTTCTGGATTTACATACTTGGAAAACAATCATTTGTTAATGTGCATTCTCCGTTTTAAACTCCTTGTGTATAAAGTATTGATTCATAGATTTACTCCACTGTCATATATTTGCTGGCTCTCGTAATGTCAGGCTTGTGCCTGTTTCGTAACTTTCATTTTGACGTGAAAAAGTAAGGAAAGTACAGATTTTATTAACAAGGACTGCATTCTTTTAACTGTGTAAACTGGTTGTTAATAAAAATGCTAATCAGCAGAACATCTAAATGTAACACAGCCCTCATAAATATAACTGGTTTCCCAACTCTTAAAAGACTAAATGTGAGCCTATGTTGTTTGGTTTGTGGTGATTTTTGTGACAGTGTTGTCCTATGCAAATAAACTTATAAAAGACAGTTTCACATTACTGCCTTCTTTACATTTATATGTTAAGTTAAATATAACGTGAAACACGTTTCTATTTATTATTTTTGGTTCTTATTTTTCCTCCTTAATCTTTTTTTCATTATTCACATATGTACTTCAAACAGGTAAGTAAAAAGGCATGTTAAAACTTTCAAGAAACCAAAAATGAGAATATTGTAACACTTAAGAAGAAAATAAAAGCATAATTTGATATAATGTAGCTGTCCTTACAATGTTGTAAAGATATTGAGATTTTCCTTAGGAGTGACAAAGATGGTTAAGATTAGGAATGAGATTATCAGAGGTACAGCACAGGTTGAACAACTAGGAGATAAAGTTAGAGGCCAGACTGAGATGGTTTGAACATGTTCAGAGGAGGGACAGTGGGTATATTGGTATGTTAGGAGAAAGACAAAGAGGAAGGCCAAAGAGGAGATGCAGTTAGAGAGGACACGGAGGTAGCTGGAGTGAGGACAGAGGATGCAGAGGACAGAGTGAGATGGACGAGGATGACTCGCTGTGGCGACCCCTGAAGAGGGAAAAGCCTAAAGAAGAGTATAAAGAAATTAAAAAAAGTGTCTTTTAGGTTTGTCAAACCTTGGAGTGTTCCAAAGTACAGCTTTGCTTTAATATTTGATGGTTTCTTATTAGACAATTAAGATTTATGGGAACAGATTTTCAAAAAACAGAATCAAAAGCTCTTTTTTTTTATCCCACAACTTTTCCCTGTAACCTTATTTTGGTTTCACATAATGGTTTAAATAAAGGTTAAAATTCAATCCAAAAGAAATCCACGTAAATAAATACATAACACGCAACAAATTTAACCAATTTCCGGTGTGGTTGATTGCGCATGTCTAAAAAAACACTGTGTTGCCTAGCAACAGAACTCAAACTTTCTGGCCGGGACGTTTCCAGTGAACTTTTCTTGGTTGTTCTTGTGGGGTAATTTTTTTTTATACCTTACCTAGAATAATAATTAAAAAAATTAAAAAAAATAGTTAAAGTTCAAGATAAATTATCGTTTTAGCATTGCTAACTCTGACATCTGCTAGCTATCAACTTAATGCTATAAGCTAGCTTAATTGTTTATTATTGGGCTACTAGCGTTCACCAACCTTTATTGTATGATGAGCTGTTGTCGATGTTTTTCTTTCTCGTCATGATTTAAAAACTATAACTTTGTTTAACCTCTCTTCAGTCGATATTTATTAGGATGAGTGCTGGACGTGCGTCAGAGGGTGCAGGTTGCGTTACCTGGTGGGGATTTAGTCCAGCCCAAAATCTGCTCAGTCTGGGTAAGACTCTCGCGTGCGCCAGGTAGCTGCACATGTGCAATCACGTTGACCATAATTAGCCCACTCTCAGTTGTGCTTTATTTTAATTATATGTTATTTTGTATTTTTATTACACAGCTCTTTTCTTCTTTTTGTAGTTTAAATCACAGTAAAGGTCGTTGGGCCTAATTCTAAATTAATATAATGCTCAAAAATGACGTACTGTGATTTTTATTGTGGATAATATAATGTCAGCAATGAATTAACTGTCACTAAATAGTAATTATTAACACACCCCAAAATGTAGCTGCTTTTCTTGCTGATTCATATAAAACACAATTATTACACACTGCACTGAATTATTATTATCAAATAACATACTATAAGAAATGTTAAGGATTTGCAGCTCTAAATAGGCATTGATAACTGGTTGTACCATTTGATACCAAAAATCAATATTTTGCTTTTCATTTATATTTAAATACAGGGTTTTTTTTATAGTAGGGGAAGAAAAGTTGTAACTTGTTTTGTGCTGAAACAATAAAATAACCAAACTGTAAATTGGATAAAAATATAAACTGTATGTTTAAAATGAATCAATTAAGGTTTGCATACACTGCAATCAAAATTAATTTATAATACTATTCGTATATGTCTATCTGTGTTTAGGTCCCGTGAGGTTTGAGGGAGAAATCAACGTTTTACTGATTGGCAGTGCAGATCCAAGACACATTTTAAAGACTATTGCTGGTTTGCACGACAAACAAAGTCTTCATGTGAGCCCTAATCTCCTAAACTGACCTGATACTGTTTAGACCTCAGGAGTAGCATTTTTATAAGTCGCAGATCTTCTCTCTTCTGCTTTACTGCAGGTATGGGTGATAGAAAACAGCATGGAGGTGGTGGCTAGGCAGCTGCTGCTGCTCTACTTAGCTCTTGTGAACCACAAAATTATGGGAATAAATGGTGGGTGGAATTTTAACAAGTTAACAATTATATAAAGGCCAGATGTGTCAGAAATATCTTTTTTATTTCAGAGAAGACAGAAGTGTTTCTGGAGGTCTTTGGAAACGGTGAAATCCGGAGTCAGACAGAAGAAACTCTGCAGCGAGCTGCATCACAGCTCTCTCTGTCTGTTACTGAAACACTGGAGGCTGCCACGCATGCCTGTCTGAACACCACTCTTCTCAAGGTGAAACATCAGTCTGCTCTGTGTTCGTCCATACAGTCGAGGCCTGCTCATTCAAACCCATATAAAACGAAACTGGAGATAACACTGTAAACAATGAAATTCTGCTTTCCATAAGATAAAGTGTGATGATTTCATCCTCTGAGTGTTTTGACAGTTCAAGGAGCGAGATGAACTTGTTCGTATATTCAACTTGTGGATCCAGTCTTCTTCTTGTAAGCATCCTCCTCCCATCAGGATGTCCAAAGTGTGGGATTATCGCGTCAGGCAGCATCTCGGTACTCGTTATGACTCCAGGAAGGGCTGCTTTGACTGGGATCTTACAATGAAGCTGCATAATAAAGGGGTAATTGAGAATTTTCTTGTAGTTTTATTTTATTTTTTTTACCAAAACACTAAGGTGCCATTTTCAGCATTATAAGATAACTAGAGATTAATATTTATCAGTAAAATCGGACATTCACTGTCAATGTTGCCTTAAAGCAGGAGTGTCAAACTCATTTCCACCGAGGGCCACATCAGCATAATGGTTGCCCTCAAAGGGCCTGATGTAACTGTTAGACAGTATAAATGTAGATCAATGTAACTAAATGTAATGCAAAATAAATGCAACTATTCCTTAATGTTAAATAAATAAATCAATGATCAAACGTTCCAAGTGAATAAGGAAAAAATAACAAGTTATGACATCAACTTTGTTCAAAACTTTTTGTCATAGTTAAGAGGGGCAGAATAACGGTCCAACCAACAATTGTGAGCTGCTAACAACATGTGACAGGTGCAGCCTTTTACAAAAAAATAAATGGCTGCACACAGCCTTGCAAGGGTCATACATCCAACTTATGAGAGATGGTATTATTATAGAAAACATTTAACTGCATAAACACATAAACCTGCAATCCCATCCCAAATACATTGCTGCAAATTTAACGTAATACTGTATAATAAAGGACATTTAATAAACTCAAAATAACAACATTATGGTTGAAGGCTCACTTTGACATACTCAGCACTGCATTTGGTGTCAAAATGCTGTTACTCCTTGAGTAACATAATCAGCATGCATTATGGGAAATATAGTTTGTTGTCAGTGCGCCCTTTTGACTTATTTATTATATGACCAGCAGAACTTTGAAGCTCTTGCGGGCCACATGAAATGACATGGTGGGCCACATCTGGCCCACAGGCCTTGAGTTTGACATGTATGCCTTAAAGGATAAACCTTTTTTCTTTGCATGCCTGCAGTGTGGAGTCATTAACAAACAGCAATATGTGCGATGGAGAGAGCAGGGACTGGCGTTTGAAATGAGGGAAGGTGTCTACCAAATAACCAATCCAACTTTGCTTTCTTCAAGAGTGTTTAATCAGGTAAGTTGTTGGTTTTGCTGCACTAAATGTAAATTATTCAGTGTAAAGGATTTTTTTTTTATATATGTGTATGTGTGTTTTGGCAGAAAGGAGAAAAAGTTGCAGTTAGAGGATACTGGGGCGACATTGTTTCCAGTCCTTATCTCTCTTTTGGCATTGAAACAGAGGACAAGAACCTGCTGAAGAAACAGAACGAGCAATACATCAAGGTTACACAGTAATGACATATGCTTCACCGTGGAGTTTCCTATTTTATTTTCATCATTCAGTTGAAAGATAAGTTGCGTGTGAATATATTGGTGCCTGTTTTTTTTTTTTTTCATCCTTTCCTCTCTTTCCATCCGCAGACGGCTCAGGATATCTCTTTTGCAAACGTCCAAGGATTGTTTCAGTTCCTGTCCAGTAGACGGGGCTGCCTCCCCGCTTCTCAGTTCGACTCGGAGGCAGAGGTGTCCACACAGACGGAGCAGAAATCTGTCAGCTTTAATGGTAAAACACGTTAACGTTTAAGAGCTCTCCTCCAAGTTAAAACCAAAATAGCATCATCTACAAATAAGTCACAGTGAAGGCGGTTTGTTGCATCATTTCTTGAGTCGGCATCTTTTAAAATCACTTTACAGCCGTGTGACGCTATAAAATAATTAAGTACATAGTTTGAACACTGAATGGTTTCAATTCCTTCCAGATGTGATGCACCTGGATGGGGTCTCTGTAACTTTCCTTCCTTTGGACTCGCTTCACAAACTACCAGAGAAACAGAAATACTCCCACTTCTTCCACATTATTCACTTCTCTGCCAAGTAAGTCCTTTTTTTTTCCAGTTACCATCAGTATCACTTTCTTAAATGTAAATACTGAACTTAAAATACATGGGAGGGGAGTTACCCTCCTTCCTGTCACCTGGGCTACTGAAAAGAGATATTAATATGCGAGCACGTTTCATTTCTGTGTTTCTGACTCCCTCTGTCTGCTGTGAAGCTGCGTGCACCAGTTGTGCCCCGTGATGAGACAGATTGCAGCACCAGACGCTGTGCTTGTCGTCGAGTCGGCCAAGTGAGGGTTTTTATAGTAACATGGCTTGTTACCGTGACAACCATACAGCCACAAATTGTACTGTGTGGTTGCTCTGCGCTCATCAGATAATTAAATGTGCATCATTCCCCAGATTTAACCGCACAATATGTAATTTAATTACGTTTGTGATGGGAGTGGTTCAGCCTTATCACTGACGTAACATTTGTGTGTTTCAGGTACATTTTGGATTTCAACAAAGAGCAAGAAGCAGGCTTTGGGAAGAAAATGGCAAGCATGGCTGTCGAGGCTGGATTTGAACCCTGGCATGAGAACAGTGATGATGTCCATGCAGTTTACAGACAGCAGAACTGAAGATGGTTTATTTTACCACAGCTCTTCACTTTTTTCCTTTTGTGAGCGGTTAGATAAACACATCAGAACAAGCTAATGTTTTTTTTAGCTGTTTTTTTTTTTTTGATAATTAAAAAAAAAAAAGCTTTAGATATGTCAGAGATAACATATTTCAAAAGTGGTTTATACGCAGTATCCATTTTTAGAAGATTTACTTGAGGAAAGAGCGTAATGTGCAGAGAGAATTTATTGTTTTTCTTTCATCAAAAAAAGTCAGTCAGTGAAATGTCTATTTAAACCACTCTGGTTAAATTTCCAGTGATTTTATTATTGCATGCATTTTACTAACCACTAGCAAATCTAAGTAATGGCAACATAAATCTAGCTGTGGTCGAGTACTGAACACAACAGCATTGCTGCTTCTACAGTTCGTGAAGCATCTTCTTGTTAGCTCCTGTTTGTGCGTGGCGGGCTTCACTTCCAGCGTCCTCCAACCTTTCCTTTTCCATGGCCCTTTTTGCTGCGTTAAGACAGGAGAAGATTTAAAGCCGATTATGACGTTGCACAACACTGACCAACAGTTTCCATTGTGGTACGAGAAGGAGAAGTACTTCTGTTTCACTTTCTGCTCCATTTATCTATGCAAATGCCTCATGTGTGTGCATCCTGTCTGCTAAAAAAGCCCCGGCACGTGCTTCCTGTGCACAGGCAGCAGCCATTAATCAGTGATATGTTTGCATAGTCAAAGCTTTTCCATGCACCGCTTTGCAAGTCGGGGTTTAGGATTTATGCAATGGATTATTGTAACAAGCGGATTGACTCACAATTTCTGAGCATGTTGGATTCTGTTCAGAAGGACAATAATCTGGAAAAAGGAATGCATAAAATTAAGTAAAAAATGAGCTATTTTTAAAAATGCAAACTTCTGTGATCTCAGACGGAGAGCTTGCCTCGTATTTCTGCTTCTTCATCTTCTCAGTCAGGTCAAACTTCTCGGATTCCAGTTGGTAGATCCACTGCCACATTTCTTTGGCTTTCTCTCTGAAAAACGTGGCGTGACAGTTCCCAAACACTAACCTCAGTTGAAATAAAATAAACTTTAAAAGCATTAGTGTTTGACGAGGCTTTTGCTGACCTCAGGACATCCTCCTTCAGGTTCTCAGTCGCCAGAGGCTTTCTTCTATCAGCCAGAGTTTTCTTCTTGATCTCCCTCGCCGTCTGTTTCTTACCTCGTCTTTGTTCTTCCTGCAGAGAACACATCCTTCCACCGTCAGCTCAGACGATTCGCATCACCGCACGGAGCGTTTAAACTCCACTAACCTTTGCAAGGAATCCTCCAAAATGAGCCCCCATGTTGGAGAGCACCTTCTTCTTCTTGGCCTCATCATCTGCCCTTTTCTTTGCTTCTTCCTCCTCTTTCCTTTGTCTCTCCTCCTGAAGGAGTCAACCGGTTATTCAGCTGTTTCAAAGGCATTGTGTTGCATTCAGGTACAGGGATCTGAACAGGCAACTGAGTGAAAAAGACAATTACTGCGAGTCGTGTCTGTCTGTCCCGCTCTTTTTCAGCTCTCACACGCTGCTGCTCAGCTCTCTCTGCCCGCCGTCGCTCCTAAATTTAAATGGATAAACGTGTCTGCTGAAGACGGATGAATTCATTTTAGAAGAGATAAGATAGACAAAAGTTATTTTACGATTCTTTCTTTGAGTCCAATCAGCTCCTCCTCTTCCTTTTTCCTCTGCTCAAAGTGGACATCAATCAAAGTCTGCAGCTCCAGAAGGTCTTTCTCCATCCTTTTTCTGTGGATGTCCTAACAGCAAGGACAAGTAGGTGTCCACATGTAGGACTGACTTTGACGTGATTAACAGTCTTGAAGAAACTTACGTCAAAGTCAACCCTCTCCCCCTCTGGGATTTTTGGTGGAGCGAGCTGTGTGACCATTGGCCTAAAAGAGCACAAGACAATAGAATAAGTTTGCATCACATATTCACAGTTTTACTTGTTTTAGTCTTATTTGTTGGTCAAATCTTACTTGTATTTGGGGCGTTCTTTAATATGATCATTAGAAGAGAGGAGAAAAATAACAATAATTTGGTTTTGTTGTGATTAAAGCAGCAGAAAACCTCGCAGCAGTTCTGATGTCTCTAAATGATATTCTTTATAATCCACACAGCGCCTGTCTCACCTTCCTCTCCCTGCTCCTCTTCCTCATCTGCAGAAGAGCACAGTAAAGACTGAAAATGTAGCTTAAATTCACAGAATTAATGAATTTATGTTCTTACCCTCGTGGAGTCTTCTGAGCAAAATGAACAGAAAGAATTTGTTAGACAAACTTTACCACAGAATTTGTTGTTGGACGTGCAAAGTTGGACCGTATTTACCCGTGTTCTTCTGTACAGGACATGGTGACACTGAAAATAGGGGGGGGGGGGGGGGAGCATGAATCACAAAAATAAATGTTTTTGTAAAAATCACATTATATTTCATTAAGCTGCAAGTGATTGTGAACTAAATCCACTTTTCCCTAATTTGATGAGGTTTTAATACAAAAATACAATAAATTTTATTCATAGGACACTTCTGCTCAGATCTAATAAGCTTTTACCAAAAATGTTTCATTATTTTTACTATGTTGGCTCAGCATTGTGTGTGTCAATGACGTTGCAGCTCGTCAGAGAGGCACCTATAGATTAAGTGTATAAAATCCCATTAAACAGTCTGTTTGGCTCAGATAGTGAAACATACAGCAAGTAACAAACTAGAAATATGATACAAAAATACTTACTCTGATTTTAAATTTATTGTGATGTAAATTGTACATGTACTGGTGAGAGACCCAAAAAATTAACCTGCTGTTATTGTCTTTTACTTGAGTCACCAAAACAATAGTGAGAATTATATCCACATTTACTAATCTGAAAGCTGATATCTTTATTAACACGTACAGAGAAAGCACAATGTTCAGTACATGTTGGTGTTTTAATCACATTTTAAAAAATCCACTTTCAGTGCAGACTGATGACATAAAATAAGAGAAAGGTCATTCGATGGTAATGAGCTTGAAATAGCAGAGGGATAATGGAGCATCTTGTTACTGAGGACAAGAGAGAGGGACCAGCTGTCCCAACTTTTATGTTTAATTTGATTAACAAAAAAATTTTGGACAAAGACATTAAGCAGGTCACTGATATTAACACCAGCCTCTATTATTATTTAATCCACATGCTGTCTCACTTGACTGACTGTGAGGTTCACTTGCAAATGGTAAGCTTTCCTCAACATCTGAAGAGTCAAGTTCAGTGTAAAAAAATGGTGATTTCATTGCAGATTAAGGGCCACTGCTGAGCTTTGAGTGTATTTACCCAACAGATCAAGCGCCGAGGCTCAGAGCCTTCCAAAGTTAGCTCTGATCCAAGATCTCAGCGCATGTGGGTCTGAATAAATAGAGTCACGGAGCAAAGGCAGATGAAGGATTCAGAGAGGAATTTATCACGTTGCATCACTGTCGGCTAAACTGGCTGAAAGAGTCGCACTCAGCAGGACAGACGGACGAGTCCAGGAATAAACCAGCTTGATGATCATCATGTTCAAAACTAGCATATATGGTACATTCATCACCATTCACTGACCCTCTGCAGAGTTCAGAGCAGGATTTAATGGATATGAGCAAAAATTATGTGTTGAAAGGATCAAATTTCTACATTTTAGTCCAAATTTACTGGGTTCAGAGAGGGTTGTTGGGTTATTATGGAGCAACAATAAAAAAAAGACTTTTAGTTTGAAGGTCAAAAGTAATAGTATGAAAATGACCTCTTGGTTAAGTATTAGTTTGATGGGACCATGTCCACCACTATCAGCTGGCAGAAACAAACAAACAAAAACTTAAGTAACTGAGACTCCCTTCAGTTGATCCATATATTAGAGCTTTTCAGTCTAAACTCGTCTTTTTAGCTCAGTTGCGACCAGATTTAAAGTGTTGCTCTCCATCAACAATGAGTGTTAAACACTTTGTGAAATGCTGATTAGAATAACAGTTGAACTGACTGAAGGTACAGGATAACAAATAATATCTGCTGCTGGAAAGTGACATTTTAAATATTTCAGCACTAACTGAAGCAGCTTTGTCTTAGAAACTGAGTAAGGTCGAGGAAAATAGAAGCACGCACCTGGACGGATGACGATGTTCTTCAATGATGATGAAGAGTAACAACCAGTGGAGCAACACAGCTCTATATATGAGGACCTTTGGGATGTCACAGAAGTCTGAGAATGCGTGTGTTTCTGTGCACTTCTGTTACTGACGCTATGAAGCATGAACCTGCACGGACACCCCCAGTGTGGATCCATGTCCCTTTTTGAGGCAAATTCCATGATTTAATCACCTAAATTGAGGAGAAAGTATGAGGAATGTTTGTTCTCACAAAGATAGAACCACAGCTGTGTGAGTGCATGCCTTAATTTATTAAAGGACGGCGGTGATTGGACGAGGACCACGTGCAGCTTTTGGGGGCTTGAGATGAACTTTGAGAGGAAGGATAACGAGGCGAGGGTTTCTAAATGACCTCACTGCTGAAATAAGAGACAAAGACAGGTGGCTGGAGTGCAGACAGATAACATCTGAGGGTGTCCTGGAGGGTCTGGTACCAGGATGAAAGAAAGAGATTCGATGGACCCCAGAGACCAGGGTGGGGGAGGCAAGAACTGTTCTCCAAAAAGGTTTAGCTGTAACATCCTCAGAGAAATATTGTGTTGTAACTAAATGTTGGGGACTGATTGGTGTACAATAAATTTTTTAAATGTCCTTATCTTCAGGATTTTTTCCCCTAGTCAACCACTAGATCATTCTCTTCTTTGAACGTCTTAAAAATATAATTTATCTGGGAAAACCCCTCAAAAGTAAGAACTTTGGGCTTGGAGTTTGTTAACAAATAATCTCACTGATAGCTTCAGGTACTGTAGGTGTGTTGTCTGTGTGTTCATGTGATATTTCCATTGAACATCAGCTGATTGTTGAAATGAAGGGTTCAGTGTTCCTGCTCTCAGCTCACCATCGGCAGCTGCACTCACATCAAGATCCTGTTGGAAATGAGAGCAGTTGATGGCGTGTCCACTGAGATCTGGATTGGTTTAAGAGAGAAGCTGGAAGCAACAGGACATTTTCATAAAAAACAAAACAAAAAAACAACCTCATTTGAACCTATGTTTTTAAATTCCCTTTTAATATTGCATCAAAAAGCATTACAATGGCAATAATATAATATATGCAAACAATATGGTTTGTTGTGGCGTGAGTATCAGCAAATAAAGGCAAAGATCAGTGGAAAATTAACAGAAATCTGTGTCACTGGCAACAAATTGATCATCTTATCCACACCTGACTTGAGGAACTGCAGTGTGTTCATAAATAAAGTTTGCATTGTTACGGCACAAATTTAAAACATGTAAAAACAAAGTTTAAAAAATGTGGCAGTGAAGTAACTGAAGTTGACAACAGCACAGTTTTGCATGTAGCTTAAATATGTTCACAAATAAACCAAGAGTTCTTCTCGGTGAATTTAAATCCTGATAAAAAGTCTGAAACCGCAGCCCATGTTTAAATCACCTCAGCACAGCATCAGAATCTTGTACGTAAAAAGCAGATTTACAGATTGAGTAAAGACACAAAAGTCACAGACTTCTGAGCTTTTAAAAGACCTGCTCTGACCTCTACAGCAACTCTGCGTTCAAGTGGTAGAAAATGAAACGACCTCAACAGTCCTGCACGTTATCCCTTCATCCAACACCTTCCAGCTAAAATGTCTCACGCTGTATTATCAAACAGGAATTTAGTGGCACCAAGTGAGTCATGCTTTTTAACATCAAAACATACTGCACTTTAATCTGAACCACTCCCTGCAGTAGTGACATCTGAACTTTCTAGCCTAATGATTGGTGCAACAAATACTGTTTTTTTTATTATAACCAAACTTTACAATATTAATTATATTTACTGTTCTGGATTACTTTAGATTGCTTGATTTTTAAAACTACAACAATTGTTTATTTGTCCTTGTGTGGACCATTTTTCTCTCCATACGCTGTCACAGTTATTAAAACATACACAAAAAAATAGACGCATCGCTCGCGTCACTTAAAACAGCCTTCACTGTCACCCATTGTTCCCAGAACCCGTCTTTTAAATGTCGTCCAACAAATCTCTCAACACGTAAAGAACAAAAAAACTTTTCTGTTTGTGACAACACACTCTTTCTCTTCAGCATCCTTTCTTCTGAGCAAGCGTCTACTTCTCTTTCTTGACCTCAGCTCGACCCTCCGCCATTTTGTTGGGCTCCTTTGGGCTCAGACTCAGCAGCTTCAGCAGATCGTGCAGAGCTTTCCTTATCTGATCTCCAAATCGATGGGCATCCTTGAAGAGAGACAGCGAGGAGAGATGCAATGTATCAGGGAGGAGAATTCATTTAAATTTCACAAAACACCACCACCAAAAAAACCAACTTTTATACAATTACTGAATATTACTGTATAATATTTGAAGTAGTATAAATCAGGGCTTGTTAATAAAAAAATCATCTCAGAACCCTGGACAAAAATTCAAATATCTATTTAGACCAAGTTCATGGAGACATAACTGAAGAGACTTAAAGCTGTAACCACCGCAAAAAGTGTCTCTGCAAAGTATTTTTGAGGCCAGAATATATATGCATGCATCATTTATTATTTAAAACAAGTTTTTCTCCTTTCAACTTCAATAATCTGTGGAATGTTTTGTAGAATTATTGCTTTTGTTCACATTAAAAATACAATTGAACTCCAAGTTGCAAGGCAACAACATAGAAAGAATACCAAGAGGGGTGAATACTTTGACAAGGCTCTGTCATACCAGAGATCAGTAATGATCTGAGTAATCCTCCAAGTATTCCTTGAGACAAAATTAAGTCTATTATATTGTTTTATTTGGCTGCATAGGAAAGTGTTGATTAAACTCACCGTGCTGGTACAGGAGTGTTTGCAGGAGATGTGGAAGTTCATGATGTTCTCTGATAAAAACATGTAAGACAACCCATAACCATCATCAGCCACCTGAAAAGACACACATATTACAAACTCTCAAGCTGATTACTTTTGGTGCACCTGTGTTTCAAACTTAAGAAATCTCTTGAATAAAACATTATACTATAAGCAAATTACATTAAAAAAAAAGCACAAAATGATTTGTTTTTAACTGTGCATGCAACTATATTCAGATATGAAGTTTCAGTTCTGATCTTCCAGTTTAAAATACTGACTGGTCCAAAGCCGCCTCCACACGAGATGTACTCTGGATTGTTAACCAGGTCAAACAGCTCCACCTGCTGGACAGGAGTCTGACTTGTGGACAGTCTCCATGGTTCAGACAACACCTGAAACACACGGACACCGTCACGCCTCAGATTCAACAACAACAACCTAATTTAGAAAATGTAATACAAATAAAAGACAAACTAATAAAAATAACCTCTTTCAAGAAGGGAGACTCCAGGCCGAGATATTTGGAAACCACATAGAGGCAAAATAAATGTCTATCAATACCACCTCCGGTCATGGCCATGCGACACAGATGCTGGTGTTTCTCCGACGCTGACTGAAACAACCGCCGGCACACCTCTTCTGGCTAGGAGCACGATTATTTAATTAAAGAAACAAAAAGACACATTTATAAAGAAAACAACTGGAAGGAATACTTTTCAAGAAGAGTATAACTGTGCAATCATTTATTTTATAAATCAAATTTAATGTTCAGCCTCCGTATCCTCACCTCGCCACTCTCTACCGCTCGGACAAAAGCACTGCTCTCATTGGTGCAGGAGCGAACGGTCTCAGTCCGGCCCTCCCTGAATAAACGAGTCATGGAGGCTTCGTACGTCAAACAGAACGTCCCCCGATCCTGAGATGCAGGGAAAAAATAATAATAAACACAGATATGCGAAAATTTGCCACCATTTTGTGTCATTCATTTGATGCCAGTTTAAAATCACATTTTTATTCTTTAACTGTTCAGTCAGGCAGAAAATTTATGACACAGTGAGGATATAAAAAAAAGAGCAACACACAGAAACTGTTATAAGTGCAGAAAATATATTGTTTACCAGTAGTATGCAACATGTTTTGTTTAACAATTTCAATACAGACTTGCTGATAATGAAGCTGATGGTAAGTCCCAACAAAGAGGCATAACCATTTTAGATGTGTAAACGTGTATAAATGTGTACGTGTTGTTTGTCAGAGCGAGGCTCACCCTGTAGTAGGCCAGCTGAAGAGCCATCTGAATGAACGCATCAGGACTGACTCGACACTTTTTGATCTTTCCTTTACCAAAGTCGCGAAAGGAGAAGACATGAAAGTCCACATCATCTGCTAGAGACTGGGCCACAGCCAGAGACTCTGAGATCTGCTCCTCACACTGAAGAAGGCGTTCAAACCGTTACCAACAGGACAGAAACTTGTACAAGTATTACACAGCAACTTTGAATACAAATACACACTAGCTTGCAGATAGTAATGGACAATGACTGACAATTTTGATATTGTCATTAAAGTACAGTAGTCCCACGCTACTTCGCGGTTCGTTTATCACGGACTCAATCTATCGCAGTTTTTCAAAATAAGATTGGACATACACAACTGGCTGATTGATGGATGAGCTGCACGATCGGCATGGACTTTTTATTTAAAATAAATTATTTAGCACCTGTGTGCAGCCCACAGCTACAGAAGATGCTTCCTCCTGCGCCTCTGTGCAGCCCACATTGCAAGATAAACGTCCTGCTGCAGCTGACCTCTGTGCAGAGTGGAGAAGTGGGCGTGGCCAAGAACGCTTGCAGGTGGCAAAGAGCATCAAGGCAGAGAGCTGAAATCATGACATTCTGTGCGCTTTTAGAGCGTTTAGAGTTTACCATATTTTCCGGCAGACTCGTCGCACCGCCCTATAAGTCGAATCAGACCATATTTGTCTCATAAAGTGGAAAAATCCATAAATATGTTGCTTTGCCATATACGTAGCATCTATTTTGCATCACCGCTAACGTGTCGCGTTTGTTACGCGTCTCCACTGACAAACCGGAAATGTGGGCCGAACCTGGAAATGTGGACCGGTGTTGTACCAAAAATTGATTGGCTGCCAAATGACGGCCGTAGGAGCGTGCACGGGAGGACTTTAACAAGAATTTATCAAGATTAACACTTAAAAACAATTATTTGTTTGCTTGAAATTATAGTAAAGGTGTGTCTCAGTCTAACTTTTGCTTAATAAATGCTCTTTGAGGGTCAAATCAGCTGCATTTCAAAACCCAATTTGCGGAAGCGGCAGGCGCAGAGGGACGAGCCTCCGTATTTCTTCAAAATTTAACAAGATAGAACACCTAAAAACAATTTCTTGTTTGCTCGAAATTATAGTAAATGTGTCTTTCAGTCTAATGTTTGCTTAATAAATGCACTTTGACAGTCAAATCAGCTGTATTTCAAAAGCCGATATGTGGAAGTAAACCAGTGCACGTGACGAGTCGCTGTGCAAATTTATCAGGATAGCCACATTTAAAACAATTATTTGTTTGCTCAAAATTATAGCAAATAATCTCAGTTGAACTATTCCTTAAAAAAAGCACTTTAATGGTCAAATCAGCTGAATTTCAAAAATAGTTTTGCTGCCTCGGTTGTCCGAGAGCACGCAGAGGGAGGAAATCAGGAAAGAGGAAAATCGCTTGTTTCTTCAAAATTTAACAAGAAAAGCACCTAAACAATTATTTGTTTGCTCGAAATTATAGCAAAGGTGTGTCTCAGTCTAACATTTGCTTAATAAATGCACTTTAATGGTCAAATTGGCTGTATTTCGCCGTGGCGGTGCAGCTGGCCGAGCAGAACTAAAGTGGGTTGTAATGGCAGACCGATTGTGTCATTAATAGCTGGTGAAGATTCTCAGTCATCCAGGACATGGTAAATTCAAAAAGTTCAAGACTATACAATAGAGTATAAAGTGAAGCATAATAAAAAAAAGTCCAGTTGTTTTTGTCTTGAACTTTTTTGAATTTGTCATTATAGCCACGTTCACCTAATACATGATACAACAGCAGGCCTGACTACTACTATTACTCTGCTGCCATCTAATGGCTGAAAATGGTACTGTTCAATTTTTACTACTCTGCTGTCATCAAGTGGCTGAAAGTGACACTGCTCAAATTTTTATTTATTTTTTTAGTCAGAATGAATGAAAACGGTCATATCTCAGCCAAAAATTGGTTTATAAATATGGGAAAAAAAATCCATAAATATGTCGCTTCGGCCTATAAGTCGCAGGGCATGTAAGTTATGCAAAATCTGTGACTTATACGCCAGAAAATACAGTAGAAACATCGTTTAGAATATTGCAAGAGTGTGGAAAGGGTTTAAAACGCCTTTATATATATATATATATATATATATATAACTACTACTAACTACTTGTAGTATTATTCCTACTTCGCGGTTTTTTTTCTTATTGCGGGGCTTCGGGGTATGGATCACCCACAATAAACGAGGGACTACTGTACATACATTTTCAACTAAAATAATGAAAAGTGTTTGTCTTCATTCATATTAAATATGTTCATGCCTATATTTTAAACAAAAATATGAAATAGTTAAGTTCTAAATCAGAATGTGTTTGCCAACTTTAACCCACGCTAAGTACAGTGGGTTAAATTATTGTCCAGATGATATGCTGAGGATTTCTGTGTTCAGAATTGTGTTCTAACAGTAATGTTAGAAACAGTCTGTTGTTGTGCTCACACTTTCTGAGCTATAATAATTATCAGTGTTTCACCACTATCCAAGGAGGACGCCCCGCCCTGTCAACAGAATCGAGCGCCCTGTCAACCGAAACTGCTACCCCGCTGCCAAAAGTTCTGCTGCTTCCAGACGGGGAGCAGAGATTGTAGCCACAAGATAATTGTCTTCGACTTAACATTAGTAACATAAAACTTTGAGGCTCTTTTGACCTTGGCTGAGTCTGTCAGATTTGTTCCCTACACTTTGTAAACTGCTTTGCATTATGCAACCATGAAATTACTTTTCATGAAGAAATAAAATGCTACAGCTTATATTCAGTGTTAAATTTCAAGAAACCATATATTGATTTAAGAATAAACCAAGAGTGCCATGGTTATACTGAAAGCCTTTGTTGTTTAATCTAAGAACTAAAAGGAAACATATGTGAATGGTTAACTAACTTCAGGGACAATTTCCCAGTTGAGCTTCTGTGGATGAGGAAGTGATGAGTCTACTTCTCCTTTACAGTGACCCTCTTCAGTGTAGCCGAGCTGGAAACTGTCAGTAGCCAACATGTACTAAAAAACACAACAGATAGAGTAAAAGGCCTCTTATCAGAGCAAAACAACACTGTGTAACCTTTTAATCTTTCTCACGTTTCCTACCTCCCATACATGCGCCACTACTGGTGCATCGGCCCACGAGTGCTCTGCGTTTATTCCACTCTTTCCATTCTTGAAGAAAATAACTGAGAAGGACTTGTCAAACCACCTGGACGAGAGCCAAGATAAATAACTGAACACTGTGGAAATTTCCAATCTATTTAAGAGCTCCCACACAAACTACAGCAACTTCACATTCACAAAAATCGTCCGTTTAGTGTGGAAGTACCTGTCGTAACATTTGCCGTGCAACAGAGACTTGGCGTAGCGATCTAAACTGGCAGCTGAATCCTCTCCATTCATGCAATGTTCATCTTCGTCCAGGGTCACAAAGAAGGCTGCTCTCTCAATGCAGTCCAGGGAGCGTTTGTTGACCCCACTGCTGAAATACTTGGCTCTTGCTTTGGACCAGAGGATTCTGATTGACATGTGAGAGAAAGTGAGATTACCATTTATGATGTTGCTGTACATAAACCATAAAATCATATCGAACTCACCTCTCTCCTGCAGTCAGGGCTCCAAGATTGGCCTCTCCTTTGAATGGAGGGGTAGAGTCATCGAGGATCCTTTGAATCTGGAATTCAACCTCTCTTGGTGACAGGAGTCTGCCTGCCTGGTAAACTCTGAGACGAAAGTAGCGACCTTTGTGGTAAACCACTATGTAGTCACTGTCCTGCCAATGTTGCACAGTATCTTTGGACATATAAGAGAAAATAAAATAGACACAATGAAATAATTTAATGTTGAAAGATTTTGTCATTTGAATACATTTGGTGAGCAACTTAGTAAGTACTCTGCTGAATGTGAAAATGCAATTTGCAGCAAATGGGCATAAAACCACACAATCAAATTAAAGAGAAAAATCCATTCCAGAATACACACTTTGTTTAGTGTGTCTGGTGTACAAAGTTATTTAATATCTCAACATGTTATGTATCTAACAGTAAGTTCAGTTGTTTTTATATTAGTGTATGTTTTTTTGTCTTTTATAAGCACAATTTAAAATTTAAAATTGCTAAGTTTGAATCTTCGCAAACAATGCGGTTAAAAATGTAAACAGAATTGGGAATATTTTAAATGTCATTAATATAAATAATATTGATGTGTGTGAGAACATCTTATCAAAGAAACATTATTTAAATTACACAGTAAGATTCCTGAGATACTGTCACAAAATCCTTAAATCTGTCCGAGGCCAAATGAGAAACAGCTGCCCAGATGAAAAGTATGCTGGTTATGGAGAGAGAGATTAAAGACGTGTTGCTCTAAATATTGGCTATTAATTTGTAAAATTAGAATGTTTGATCAAAACTCATCACCTCTTATAATTTCTATAAAATTAGAAAAACTGCTCCAATAAATATGTTAGTTTTGATAATCAGCTGCACATTTTTAGAACTGAAATGTTACACACAAGTAAGCAATGAGTTTCTTTTCACTGTGATTTTTAATATGAAATGACTCACAGGCTTAATTTTATCAACATGATGGACAGGAAAGAGTAACTGTAGAAGGAATTAATGTTAAGGACATTTTTTTATTAGAGTGCATTGGCATTTAGAAGTGGGACACTTATGTAAGAAGGTAAAAACTACCTGTTAGAGCTCCTGGGATTCGACAAGTGTCAAACATCCGCTCAAACTGATAGGAACAGCAAGGAACTGCAGACCTTAATAACCACTGAGTAGGTTGGAAGGAGATGGGCAAATGCAAAAACAAAGTGAAGGAAAGGAAGTGAGGAAATGAAGGGAAATTTAAATCACAAGTGTTTTTGTATGATTAAAAAAGGGAGCAAGGAAGAGGAGATGAAAAGACGAGACAAAAAAATGAAGGGGCAGAAAGAAAATAGGCATCAGTGAAAGAACATTTGCAGAACCCTGGACAGACCTGAGATGAGAGCAGTAGCCGAAGGAAGACAGAAGAGACAAAGTGAGCTGTACAGCACACACACTCAGTGAATCACAGACGTCTTGCTCAAACCACACACGCGCAGTCCTTCATACTATACTCTGTTACTTGTGTTAACTCTGGAGGGTCAGGACACCTTCACTCAAACTCATAAAAGGACCCAGAACCGGTGCAGGCTTGTGTTTTTTTTGAAAGATCATGACTCAAACAGCAGCTCGTTGTGTTTCTACATGTGTGTTCAAATCAGTCTCTTTACCGGTCTCCTCGCCAGGAATGCGTGTGGTGTTGAATATCCTCTCACACTGAGCAGCACACAGAGGAATGACAGTGCCTGGGATGCGACTCTGGGAAATGGAGAGGATCAGACGAAGGCGATGGTGCAGAGAGAAGAAAAGTGGAGGGTAGAACAGGAAATGTAGATTCAGGCAAAAAAAATGTTTTTTTTTGTTTGTTTTGTTTTTAAGAATCAGATTGAAAGAGGAAGGAAATGTTTAAGTGAGTAAAGGAGAGAGTACAAAAGAAAGATGAGACATGAGCATGGTATGAGAATATCAGGGAAGAGGTTTTGACATCTAAATTCAAGCCTAAATGAATAAAAGTCTAAATAAATCGGTGATAAATACTGAAAACAGGCTGTTGCAGAATCAAAACACATTCACACATAAACACATACATCCATGAAAACTGACTGTTTACAATAAGAAGTATTCTAACAAGAGACAGGACATCTGTACTGAGCAGCTGATGTCGAAAGGTGGCTAAACTTACAGGTTTAATCTCCTCTTTGTTGAGTTTTCGGCGGTAGAGGAAGAAAGCATGGATGCAGTTGCCTGCTCTGGCTGCCTGGATGGGTGTTGGAGTCACATACAAGAAGTCCTGGGGAGAAAACAGATACATGGATTAAAGAAGGGGACTTATTTATCATTCACAGGTACAGTATACCTGAAATTAAAAGCCCAGTAGAGGTTATTAATGGTCTCTTTGTGATTTGCTGATCAAAGCACATAAATTACCAATATATAAAATCCAGATCCAAATGGTATACATGTATTAACTTAATGAAATCAGTTTATCTAAAGGCATGAAATAAGTCCACAAAGATGCTAAAATAAAAAGATTTCTTCTTGAAAATGTGTTTCTTTACTTCCAAATAGTTGCAGTTACTTTCAAAGCAAAGATGATGCAATGAGTAATCTTGTATCAGTACTGGATTAGCATAATAAAATAATTCAAAACAGTTTTTCTTCTTACCATTCCATAATAGTTACTGTTGACCATGATGGGGCTTCGTCCACGTAAGTAGACATATTCCTCCCACCAGTCACTGACCTGAAACACACAAAAGCCCTTGTGAGAATGCAGCCAGCTGTGAGTCACATTGATCTAATATTCAGATGCGATAAATTATTAAAGTTACAAAACCATGCAAAGCTATACATTGTTAATGGAATTTCTTATTTTCTTGGTGTTGGCCTTTTAAGTTTCATAACTTGGCCAGAGGACTGTTGTCAATCACTTACGTAGTTCGAGGCCCAAAGAGCTTTGAGTTTGAGGTACCACTGCAGACGGTTACCAAGGCTGCCCTCAAACTCTGCGGCCAGCTTCGTCATGCGCTCATACTCGGCATCATTCATCAGCGGACGCACTGATTCCAAGTACTGAACAAAACACAAAATGAAACAAAGCAAAATAAAAAGAAAATCATTTAATACTTTACTAAAAGCAAAAACAAAAGCTAACACCTCCAGCAGATCTACTACGAATTATTAAATTGATCAATTGCCTTGCAGAAACATACAAAGATCTGGCAGCAACATGTGACCATCAGTAAAGCTCTCTGTTATTTATTCAGTAATAGGTGTGACATCATTTCCTGTGCATCATGTAACGTCTCACCCTCTTGACTGTGTCCTTTATGGTGGGGACAGGGAGGTTTGGCAGTGAACCCTGGTAGCTGTAGAGCAAAGGCTTTCTGCCAGAGAAAATCCGCACCAACGCCTGGCATACACACACAAACACAGACAAACTCAACCAGTGGCAAAAAGACATCTTGCGAGTCGTAACGTTTTATTTTAAGAGTTTAATTTAGTATAAATATAACACTACACTGTACAAAGTGACTGAACTGGGAGACAGTGAAAGGAGTGTTTAGTTAAAAGATGAGATAAAGCACTCACCACCCAGATCTTGGTGGTGGTGGACATCTTGCCATGCTGCTCAAACATCCAGCGATGGTAGGACAGGAGCTGCTTGAGACACAGGCGCATGGTGAAGATGAGCATAAGCCACAGCATTGTGCTGAAGAGTACAGCCGACACCACCGCTTGGCACTGCGTACTCATCTGGCTGGAAAATAAGAAAGAAACAGTGAACAAACTGACAAAATAAAGTGACAATATCTCTATAAATTTACATTTACAATATGAAAAATATCATAAATGTATGGAAATAATCTGTATACTTTCTTCACTTCTGATTTTAATAGTTTGTAAGAATAAATGACTGTGACAGTGACACATCTGACTCTGGTTCCTTTGTTTATCTGTTCAGAGAATATTTATAGGGTAAATGTCAGACGGATTCATGCCAAGACAGGTTAATGTTTGTACCAAAATACTGTTGCAATAAAAACAATGCTGTGAGTCTCTGCTATGTTTTGGTGTCATTTTGTGGTTTACTTCTGCAGCTGTTTGACAAACACTCTTTAGAAAAACCGTGTTATGCTTTACTTTAACAGAGACCTCTACCCAACCTGTCTAACAGGCTCTGACCCTGACCTTTTTGTCAAATCCTAACCATGTGATCACACGTTCAACCACAAGCTCCCCAACCAGTACTTGTCAATCAAGGAACGGGACTAGAAGTGTCTGTCAAAGTACAAAATAACTGGAGTCGAATCAAAAAAATATTAGGTAAGTTTATTAAAATGTTTTAAGTCTACAAAACCTTTCAATTTACTTTTTGATTCTTAAATATTTAAAATGACGAGTAAATTTAGGTTAAAACTTGTCTTTAAGTTAAAAAAAATGCATATAATCTAGAATAACAATAATTTTATCTAATACAATACAACTGTATTTATAAAACACTTTAAAAATCAACACTGCTGGCCAAAGAGCAGTTCACTGAGAAAAACTATAAAATCTGTTAAAACAGTAAAAATAATGAACCATTAATATATTGATAAAAACAATGCAAATAATTAAAGCCAACATCTCAAGCTGAGTTAAAAGCCAAGGAGAAAAAAAGTGCTTTAAGTAGGGATGCACAATATTGGATTTTATCCGATATGCCGATATTGTAGAGGAACATATATCTGTGATATATTATCCATAAATTAAACGGATTCATTCATTTTTCTGGACTGAATAATATCGTGCATTGAAATTAAAATGTAACGTGAGACGTTAATTTTCTTTGACCCATCAAATGAATGCGGTCATTTATTAACAGAATCAAAGTTTAACATCAAACATTTACATTAATTTGGCAAATTGATTTCAACAACAACATAATTGATTAGCAAGCTTTACAAGGAGGAAACCATACGGCCATGATTTCCCCATTTCAAGCATTACAACAGACATTTCTGAAAATATCTGGATGATCACTGGCAAGATATAAGAGTTTAAAGATAGGGGATGAAGGAGTTAAAATTGAGAGAGAAGATGGATGAGGGAAATGTGTCGGTATCAGAACGGCACTCTCCGTTAAGATCTCAGCTTCCTCCTCGGTACACTTAGGTAATGTAAATCGACTCTTTACCTGTAGGAGATGTCTCCACTGGTACGGAGTTCCATTTAACGCACCCTTTCAGCGTCTCCGTAGGAACAGCTGTGAATCGTCCGAAGTAGTGACGGTACTTGTTCGACACACGTTCACCTCCCGGTTGGACTCACATGAGTTGTGAGTCCGTCAGAGTTCCACTCAGATGTGGAAGATTGCATAATTCCCACGAGACTCGGAAGAACTCCGGATCATGTCTGGAACTCCTGTTCTCTCCAGCATTTCTTCTGTTCGGTTTGCTCTGCGAACTGAACTGCTCTCCCCCCGCATTCGACTGCACTGGCTGCACTCGACTGGTTCGAACTAGGAAGTGCCGACATTTAAAGAGTTCTATTTCCGGTTCATTTGGGAAGTTCCTGATTGGTCGATCGACCAAACAGGGGTGTGTTTTAGTTATGTAAGAGGTTATTAGAAGTCAGAAAAACAAAAAAATTGTTTTGGAATGGACAGAAGATGTTTTTGAGACAGACGAGAGAAATGTTTAGGCGAGTTGGGGGAAAACAGGTGCCAGCTTCTCTATTTACGTCTGAGAGGATATAAAAACATGACAGTTCGTTCCAACAACTTGTCTTCTTGCCTCCAACCTTGGACCAACTTACACTTGCTCATTCCAGACAGAAAATCAGAAAATGCATGAATTACTCCATAACACATTCTAACTTGATTTCTACTTTGAATGAGGATTAAAAATCAATAATACTGTTTCACAGTTGATTTAAAATGAGTAGTTCACTTCAACATTTAAAATGGTTTGAACTAACACACTTTGATTATCAAGACATTTGTAAGATAGTAATGATAATAGAAAAAGAGAGTGTTCTTTCAATTGATCAGTGCAGGACACTTAGGAAGTCTCTGGATGAACTTAATCTTGTGTTTCTGGACTCAAATCAATGAAATACAGTTCTTGTCCCAGGAAGGCCCTCAAGGCCAGATTTGACCTGAGGCTTAGTTCACTACAATATGTTAAAACTTATTTGGTCGATAACCGATACAATACCAATATTTTTCCCCCTAGACCTACTTACAGAGATGACATAGCTTTCTTTGCTGTGGAATTAAAATACTACATTATTCTACATGGTTACATGGTCTTTGTCAATTTGGCCTGCTACCAAATGCAGATGCCAAAAAGGGGACTGAAAATGATGTAACACTATATAAATATATATATATATATATATATATAAAACATGCCTTTTATGTTGGTGAGTTATTTTGATGGAATGGCCGATGTCTGATATTTAACTTTATCGCTAATATCAGCCAATACCGATGCCATGCCGATAATATTGTGCATCCCTAGTTTTAAGAGAAGATTTAAAACCAGGAAGTGAATCAGCCTGTCTGATGTGCAAAGACAGCTCATTCCACAGTTCAGGGGCAGCGACTGAGAACACTCTGTCACCTCTCAGACTCATTTTAGAATGACCATTTTGCACAGACTTTCAACTGAAACTATATGTGACAAAAAAATAAACAAACTGTTTCTAACCGTGAGTCAAAAAGTTAGTTTCAGATACACTATGTTTACCGGAACGTTCCTTAAATGTCCTTCACATAGTATGCTGATTTATCTGTGAAATAATGTAGAAGCAAGAGAAAGAAACCCGAATGTGTCCACAGTTTTCAGCCCACTCATCTGTACGTGTGAATACTGAGTGATTACCTGACAGGCAGGTGCTCCTGTATCTTGGCTATGAGACCCATGGAAGGATCAGAGCGAGTGTACATCGTGGCTAGGATTGCTATGACCACGAAAAGCCAGGAGGAGGGACTGGCAGGGTATACGCCTGAGATCACACTGTTCTGTTAAGGTGAGAGAAAAAATTAAATGGCACTCTATTTTAAATTAGAACATTAGCTTACACATTCATAAATTATTTAGGAGTAGACAAAAATCAACGTCCGTCTCAGTGAATATCCTCTTCAATTACACAATGAATAACCAGTGTGCACATATCTAACATGGTTTGAACAACTTTTGTGTCATTTATTACTTTACAAATTTTATTGTAAAACAGAAGATGAAAATATACTCTTTAAATAAATGTAAGTACCATTAAAATAAAACTGTTAAAATTCCCAAGCAAAACTAAATTACGTGAAAACGTAAATAGTGTGATAAGATTCTCAATTTTACACTTCCAAATATGTATACTGTCAGTTTTTCAAGTTTGTTTTAAAAGAAATATTCTGATAAATCTTTGTTTTTGGCATTAATTATATTTATTTTGCATGAGTTGCTGAACAGTTTGTATCTTTTACACCAGAAAATATGCAAACTTAGACAAACATGCAGAAAATAAGAACAAACTTTATCATAGTGATGCTTTTTGTTCAACGAATTAACATTTCACTTATATTTATAAAAACTGCTAGAGATTTGAGGTAAAACAGTACCAGCAATATCAAAGGAAGTAGATTTGGATTAAAATGAAACACTCATTATAACATTCTCAACAAAGAATATTTAAGATAGTTTTGCCACATAGACAAAACAAGATAAAATCCAAAGCTCTGATACCTTGACCCTGATAATACGCTTCTTCCAGGAGCGCACACCAGAGAGGTAGATCTCAGAAAGAGCCTGGTGAGAAAGCCGCAGATCGATGCCCTCTGGAGTGACAGTGAACTGAAAGGCCACTGCCTGGTGGGCTTCTGCCATGATTACTGAGCTCCAAGTGAGGACCTGATGTAGACAAAGAAAACAAAAAAGAAAATCCTCTAAATGACAGCTCTTGTAAATGAGTCCTCGGGGCTCAATGGGATTTACCTATCTAAATAAAGGTTGAACGATGTCCTGCATTAAAGCCACACTTAAGATACACAACAAAACGACCAACCTCAAATGAAAATCATGAACAAATATTTTTTAATTTCTGCACAATGGTTACTAATCTTTGACAACAGCTGATTCACAAAACAAACCACTCATGTATGATGTGGGTTTTGAGTGGCATATGCATGGACATCTTGTTTAAACTCAACTGCTCCTTCACAAATCTTGTATAATAAATAGTAAACGAGATACTTTTTTGTTGGTTTATTTGTATTTTACAAATAATGTCAAAATACAGAAAGCACAAACATATTTTTTCCCACACTTATGATTAGAATACAATACAATAGTTTGAACAAAGCATTGAGCGACATTTTGATATCAACAAGCAGATTACAAACAAGGTCATGTGTATGAGATTAGTCTAAACAACCACTTTATCATGTTTTGTCCCACAAGAACCTGCACACAAGCTGTTCAAAGATATTAAAACGATGTGAAGTTGTGAACAGTGTGCTCCAGCATCCTTCATGCTTTGTGAATTATGACCACATTTCTCACATGTAACATCGCTGCAAATAGCTGAAAATAATGAGAGCCCTGATCGAGACGGCAAAGTCTGCAGCAACAAACAGATGACAAGCTCAATGCAAACCAGATCCATCCAAAACAGAAGTGCCTTTAAGAAAAACTCAAACCACACAATATAGTTTAGTGAGGAAAAGAAACCTTACTAAATGCTGATGTGATGAGGCACTATATGTGAAAGGCCCTGCTCCTCTTCACAAAAGAAAATTGATTTCTCTTTTCTCCACAAATAGGTTATGGATAATAGCCTGAGGTTTAGTGTCAGTCACCCTGACAGTGACCTGCATCCTAAAAAAGCCAAACATGCACATACTGTATGTATCTCCACATTTGCTCAGGTCCCACTAAAGCTCTGTTAAATGTGCCAGATGCAGCCATACTTGCACAGCTGATTTCAGCTGGTTACTTCACCATCTAGGCAGTGTTGACCAATAACTTCTACCTAATACATACAGGAAAAACAGGCTACAACCAGACTGTGAAGTTGGACAAAAGAAAGGTAGTTAAAGTAGCCAAACCTAAAATAAGTTTAAAAATGTCATTAGAGAAGAAGCTGCAGAAGATTTAAAATCTTTTAGACAATCAATCCAGGACTGAGGATGCAGAAATTCTTACTTTTACGACAGAAAAACTTTGAGTTGTGTTTTTTTTTTTTTCCAACAACTGACAGAATAATTCACAACCCCTCCGGCTTAGACAGGAAGTGAGGGTGGGGCCTGTGTAAACTGGGACAAACACCTTCCTACCTTGCAGATCATAACAATGTGCAGGCATAACGCTAAACAAAGTCATTTCAGGTCAGACAAGTCAAGTGTTAAAAATGTACAGATGTTTGCCATTAAGTTATTTTATTTTCAGTGAGTAGCAAACTTTAAAAGATAAACAGAATTAAATCAATCTCTATTAGGAATTTGAGTGATTCAACAGTCCTGAAATCATGCAGATTCCAACTTTATATTTGGGAAGTTTAAAAATTAAGCCTAAATATTCAAAAAAAAAAAAAGTGTCTAAATGATAAATAAGTGGTTTCATGTTCATATAAAAAAGACTGAGGTCTGTATGGGAGTTTAAGTAGACTGTCCGGCCTTCAGAAAACAAAAATCACTTTTTAAAGGAACAAATAAAGATTTTCAGAAACTTTGTAGCAATTGCACAGCCACAACCTTTTCTGAACTTCAGTCAAAGCACTTCCAGCCCAGTATGGAATGATAAACAGGTGGATAAATACAGCTACGCACTAATAACTATCCAAATGCTCCTGCATGCATGCATATATTTGTGAGTAAAAAATACTTCCAAGGAGGATTAACTTGTGTTTCAGTTTTGAAATGTTTCCTACAGCATTAAGGGCTTCTTCTTGAAAGAGTGATGAAAATCTCACACTTACGTCACACCCTTAGACTTTACATTAATAACCTGGCTTAACCCCTCACCTAATTTAGTTTATGTTTATTATTCACTATAATTTCATACGGTATAGTAAAAAGGCCTTTTTGGAAATGTGTGTCTGTTATCTGTCACTGAAGGAATGCAAGATAAAAAGCGCACATATAGATAATATCAATGTAATGTGCACTTATACTTTACAGAAACAAAATTATGATATCTAAGCCTATGTAAACTTGTGCACTACCGGTGTTTTGTTGGTAGGAAGCTGGTCTAAACAGAAGTGTGCTTTGTTCAATTTTTCACCAGTAAGTAACTTATAATAGCTAATGTTTAAACTCTAGTATAACCGAAGACACGTGTTGTTTTCCTGGACAGCTCACGAGAGAATAGCAAGTGTTCATTGAGATAACGCACTCTTTGTAGCCAATCTAAAGTTAAAAGCTGACACTAATTAAAAACACAGCGTAATAAACATCTTCGTCTTTCTAATTGAGAGGTCAAGCTCATATTAGACGTCCATGTAAATAATAATGTCGGACAACCTTAGAACTACAGTAAGATGGTTTAAAGGTTAAAGCAAGCCGACGTTAGACAAAATTGATGCTAGCTGATGCTAGTGCTGACTAGCCGAGCGCCCAGCCCATTATGTAAACCGTTGCTGATAAAGCCTGCTAACGCTCAGGAAAAGATGCGACTGTTCCGTTTCTTCATGGCGACACTTCCACACCTACCTTTTGGTTTTTAAATTGCAAAAATATCCAAGTTTTAGACAAGCAGGAACAACTATTAACTTCTGACGTCGTTCGGGCTCCCGCCGGTTAACTGTTGTGGATCCTTCTTCCTCGCGCGACTCTTCCACAGCACCCACCGATGAGTTGATGACGCCTTCACGGACCGTCGGAAATCCCATAAACAAGCGATGGTTGCAGCGTCTGTTAGGAGGCGTTCAATGAGCGGATTATTGTAAATTAATACAAATTCAGATTGCTGCCGTTTGATTATGCATTTTGTTTACCAACAAATTTGTGTGTTTAAATATTCCAATGCCACAAGATTACCTAAAGCCCTGACTAGCTACAACTTAAAAATATGTTTAAAACAGTCCACTTTTTCTAAATTGATCTAACTTAAAACAAATCACTCACTTTAAATGTTCTAGTTCAGAAATTAAACTAACGCACATATGAATTTAGGGTTTATTATTGTCACCATAACAATAATGTGAATCTCTCTTTATTTTGACCATCACTTCAATCATATTTGTTCTTTTATCACAGGCAATAGTTATAATAGTGCACTTTTTATATTTAAATTATGATACAGACATTTCATTTTCAACACCTTATTCTACTGACCCTTATGGATGGAGAGTAGTTTACAATCTTAGCCAGAGTTGGGTCAGTGAAAGTGGGGGTGGTGTGACGGATGAGCGTGTCGGCAAACAACTTTGTACATATCTTCCTGTGATGAGTACACAACGGAGGTGAAGAGGCAGACACATGGTTTAAAATGGCAAAGCATGAAAGCAAAAGATGAAGCGAGTCAGCAACTACTCAGAGTGCATGAAAGAAACTAAGTGCTCGTTACGAGTTTTGACTGAGAGTTCACTTGATATTATTGGGTTGAGGAAAATGAAGGGAGTTGGCTCAAAATATATCAGCTGCAAAAGTTCACACAGATTCCAGCAACCAGAGATAAGGATACGATACAGGCGAAAGTCAATAATGACAGAAGATGAAAGCAACTTGTCAAACTGCTATCAAAGTGGAAAATAACTGCTCAATTTACTTTTTAAATGCGATAATGCAAAATTACTCAAAAGAACAACAGAATTTGTCAAATTGTAGAAATAAACTTTTTTTGTAAAGAAAAACATGGCTCGTTACAATAAATAAATAAATACATAAATAACATTGTGAAAATATACAGAAAATAAATCAATGACCTGTAGCACTACGTCTTTCTGAGAACATCCTGCGCTCTTGTTGCATATTGTGCCGTATGGAAGACTGGTGAAAAACACTGAATGGTCTGACAGAGGACAGGAGGAATGTCCCTCCACGTCCCAGCTGCTACGTCAGCATTTGCACGATGATGCCACCCTCAGCGATGCGGTGATCGGACGACTTGGCTCGTTGGTGAACTCTGAATTGATTTCGCCTTAGAAGTTCGGCATCATGAAAATGTCCAGTGATTAGATTACTTTTCTCTTACAAGTCAGTATGTGAACACTATAAGAGGAGATGAGCTCGGCAAGGAGACATGGTTCTGTTTGATCCGAAGGTCAGGGATGCTCTTCTCATTTAGTCTGGACACAAACAGCTCTGATGAGGTTCATGGAAATATTCACGCTTAGTGTTGTTGGGGTTTTTTGTACAGTTATCTTCATATTTCTTTTCAACCCAAAACACTTCTTTAGAGCAATGAGAATCCAACGCAAAACCTCCAGCCGCATTGTTTCATATTGTCTCTGAGTAAAAAGAAAATATATAAGAATCAAAACAACTTGAGATTAATGTCTGCCAACAAGCAATGCTCCGACAACTTGGGTTGTTTTAGTTGTTGTCTTTACTGATATCGCTGTGCTACTGACATCTTCAGAAAGAAATCCATTAACACACACGCACACACACACAAAAGAAATTGGTTCTTAAATTTCACATTCACTTACTTAGCTTACTTGTTGGCTTTTTTACCTCAGAAAAAGCTGCTGCTGGAAATTTAGGATGCAGTTTTTTTTTTGTTCAACTTATGGCTGCTAACTCAGATGGCAGCAGGGTGCTAACTGTTAGCGTTCCTCTGCTGAGGTGCAGTTCTCCTTCTTTCATTATGGACTAGCATCTGTATGTTGCTTAGACATGATATGAGAACAATGACAAATTGAAAGAGTAATTTTAAGAACCATCACA